GCCCCCATCCGCTGCTGGGATGTGCAGGTACCGACGCCTCTCAGGGCCTCTTCCCACCCCCGCCTGTGACGAGCTCTTCCCTGTTCAGAGCCTCCCGAGCATGGAGTAGCCGGGAGCTCCCCCCACTGCCAGTGCTCCTGCCCCCTCCCCACAGCGCCCCCTGCTGGGAGAAGCTGGGGCTAAAATTGCTGCCCCTGCCCACAGCCAGCACTCCTGCCCTCTCCCCACAGCAACCCCCTGCTGGGAGAAGCTGGGGCTAAAATTGCTGCCCCTGCCCACAGCCAGCACTCCTGCCCTCTCCCCACAGCAACCCCGCTAGGAGAGGCTGGGACTGAAATAGCTGGGAGATCCCTCTCCCCCCACAGCCAGCGCGCCTGCCCAGCTCCCTGCTACAGAATCTGATGGGCCCAGAGCTGCAGGAAACGTTCGTGTTGAGATTCCACTCCCCAGCAGAGGTTCCGATTCTAGGGTGCCGTTAGAGGTTCGCCGCTGCCCCACCTGGGCTGTCTGACCCCCACAAATCCCCATCTCCTTGTGTCTATTCCAGCCAGCCAGACCCATGCAGGTGATGGTGAAGCAGCTCTCAGGGGTCAGCCTGGCCCTGCGGCTGAGCCCATACACTACCATATGGGAGATTAAGGAGGAGCTCGAGCGTGCATTGGGCATCTCTCCCTACACGCAGCGCCTGGCCCTGCAGGAGCCTGGCCTGGGAAACCAGCTGCTGCTGGACGATCAGACCCTGGCATCACACGGCATCTTCTACGACACCACAGTTCTGATGCTCACGACCGAGCCCCAGGAGATGGAGATCTTCGTGAAGGACCATAACAGCAGAACCATCCCCTATGGTGTCCGCGCCAGTGACACTGTCCTGGGCCTGAAGAAGAAGATCGAGGATCGTACGGGTGTCTCCGCCAGCCAACAGCGCCTGACGTTCAACAGCAAAGAGCTGCAAGACAACTACACGCTCTCCCATTACAGGATCCGGAGCAAGAGCACGGTCTACCTGCTTTTGCGCCTCAGGGGTGGATAAGATGCTCACTGAGTCACAGGGACCTGCATCCCAGCAGAGAGAGCATCACAGTGGACTATGTTTCCCAAGATTCTTTGCATGATAATTCAGGGCTTTGCTAATGCCTCCCACGTTCCAGAATCAGCACCGCGTCCTTCTGTAGTGCCAGCCCATCCCCACACCTCCTGCTGCAGCTCTTGGAAGCTCTTTCCCGCCGCTCCATGGCCCGTTTCGGGATGTACTGCCCCCAGTGCAGAGCTGGGTGCTGGGCGCCCACCAGACATTGTTCATTAATCCCATTGTTGTAGTCCCCTTCCTCCTCCCTGTCCCGACTCCACTGCTGTGTGTCACCATCTCCGTTATTATGTCGTGCCAAATCCCGACCGGTGTGTGCTGCTTGGAATCCGAAATAAACAGCTTCTGCTAATCCCAGCTCCTGAGTGTTGTGTCCATGGGATGTGGGTCCCACCTGCCCTGTGCATACAGCCGGGGGTCATGGATTCAGAGATTCATTTACTGAGATCATCCAGTCTGACCACCTGTGTCACACATGCCGGAGACCTGCCCCACATTAATTCTTCCAGCAGATCCAGCAGCAGTTCTGTGACTGGGTCGTGACCCCCTCATCCGACCCGGCTACAGCAAACTTGGCCAAGTTGTCTCCCCCAGCAGCTTTGTTCAACGCACACAGCCCCACCGGCTGCCTCAGCAGGGCAGTGCATTGTGCATCCCATAGTGCCTCAGTGGAGACAGCGTACCTGACAGATGGGGACACACAGCGGCACCAGCAGCATGTGGGCCAGTACACGCTGGGATATCTGTGGCACAGTGAGCTGGGAGTGTGTCATGGACACGGTTATGGGGGCAGGACCGGCTCCAGGGTTTTTGCCGCCCCAAGCGGCGGAAAAAAAAAAGCCGCGATCGCGATCGGCGGCAGCTCCACCGTGCCGCTTTCTTCTTCGGCGGCAATTTGGCGGCAGGTCCTTCCCTCCGAGAGGGACAGGGACCCTCCACCGAATTGCCGCCGAAGAGCCCGACGTGCCGCCCCTTCCCCTTGGCCGCCCCAAGCACCTGCTTGCTCAGCTGGTGCCTGGAGCCGGCCCTGTATGCGTGAGGCTCATTTACACGCCTGGCTGAGCTATAATCAACCTGCTGGCTTGTTACCAAGTGCCCACCTCCAGGCTGAGCTGGAAAGGCACAATCTGGGAGGAGTAATGTCCTGTATCGAGCCAGGAGGGGGCGCTGTATGGAGGGCAGGGGGTGTGGGCTCAGTGAGGGAACCAGAGGGTTGGAGGGTGGAGACTGTGCCCATGATAAGAGGGACTCTGGCCCAGCCCAGTGCAGCCGGCTCGGAGGTATGAAAGAGGGATTTGCACACCATGTTTCAGCTCAGCCGGCCCATGGGACAGTCAAGGCCACGGGATGCCCAGATGATGTGGGATGGGATAGGCCATTGCTTATAGGCCATGGGCAGCCTTCGCAAGTTGAGCACAGCGGGGGGGCGGCATTCCCTTTGGTGAAAAAGCCCATCAGCCGTTGGGGCGGTGACTGGTCGCCTCCTAGGCTGAGTGTTAGAACTGGATCCCAAAATGCCACCCTCTCGGCTTGAGGCTGGCGACAGAGGCTGCCTGTGACGGGGAGAGCCCAGCAGGGCCCTATTGAGATTCCAGGCCTAAGGCCAATGGGGATAGGCTGGGAGAGCCACCTGGGGTGTGGGTCTCGGGAGCCACGGGGCAGGGTACCAAGCTACTGCCCCCAGAGGCTGGGGTAGGAACAGCTGGGTTGATATTTTAGCAGCACCCTGAGAGCTCACCAAAGACCCTTGTTCTGCTGCCAGGCCTCTGCCACTTACTGTGCCCCACCTCTCTCTGGGTAATAACCCTGTGGGGGTGGGGCACAGTGATAGAGTCACCCACTGGCCAGCTGGGTGAAGCCCCAGGCCAGGCAAGGCCCTGTGATGGCACAGTGACCCTGGGACTGTACCTTTTCCTCTTCCAAGCTCATCTCTCACCGAGGCAGGGTGCTGCTGGCCCCCGTGGGAGCAAAGATGAAATCAAGCCCTCCATGATAGCGTGATCTGGGGTGGGGGAAACAGGCGATGCGCTTTGGGAGTCAGGGTATTGCTGAGCACTGCTCCAAAATAACCCCCGAGAGCAGATCTTTCAGGCAAACGGCCAATATGGATTTTAAAATTGCCAGTGATGGAGAACTCCCCACACCCCTTGGTTAATTCCAATGGTTAATTACTTTCACTGTCAAAAACCTACGCCTTACTTCCTGGCTGAATTTGTCCAGCTTCAACTTCCCCATTATGCCACTCCACCTAAGTCGTTAAACCACATAGAGGACCTCACTAAACTAAGAAGGCAAAAGCACCATAAAACCAAATGCCCTTTGGCAGACCAAGCGATGATATCTCTGGACTGCTTTCAGAAAACTGCTTTTCACATTGATTGTGAGATGCAGGAGACCTTAACTGCTCCTGAGCCCCGACACACTGGGCAGTCCAGTTCCTCCACTGGTTGCGGTTGCTCACTAGTTGTGGTGCTTCTTCACAGGTGATGCCAGTGCATTCAGCATGGTCACCCTCTTCTGCCATGTTTTCCTCACGTTCTCTTCCTCGCTGGGGCGGCCAATTACAGGCTTGCTTAGCAGGTCTCCCATCTGCCATACAGTGTCTAGGTCCCAACCGCACAAGTCTTTTTTGTTGATGATATTTTCTAACCTGTCCTGCTCTGCAGCTCCCTTCCTTTCACGCTGGTTGTTTTGTTTTTCCACAAAATGTGTATTTGCAAATGCACCATTTGGATCATTCGGGCACTGCAAGGTCAGTCCATATGCAATATAATGATTTCCAGGGGCTGTTGGAACAGGTATGGAGGAACATGGGGCTACTTCTAGAGGCAGGAGGAAGTGAACCTAGAAGTGGTATCAACCCAGCAGCTCAGGAAAGGTGGAGAAGCAGCAGATCACTAGTGATGGGCTTATAATTATTTTGAGCTTTGGTGGCATTGGCTGGCGTGAATTGCTGGAGATCCCTGACTGGAAAAGAGGCCAGTTGCTGCAGGCTGCTGGGAGCAAACCACCCGTCTGTGCTATGGAGCAGTTTCGTTGTCTCTTGCCCGCTGGGTGCGCGAAAGACTGACAACGAAGCATGAATGGCAGGTTGGGGAGAGAGACATCTAGCTGCTCAGTGTTGGCAGCAGCTGTTGAATGAAAC